TTTTCAATCTTGACAAGACATTTGAATTACCCAGGGAGTTTTAAAACATCTAGATAGCCAGGCATGGTTTCTTTCCCCTTTAATCCAAGCAAGGATGCTGAGGGAGGAGGATTGTTTGAGGCCAGGAGTTTGAGACCAGCCTGGGCAACACAGTAAGACCCTCTCTCTACAAAATTTTAAAAATCAGCCAGGTGTGGTGGCATTTGCCTATAGTCTCAGCTACGTGGGAGGCTGAGACAGGAGGATCGCTCGAGCCCAGGAGTTGAAGGCTGCAGTGAGCTATACTCAAACCACTGTACGCTAGCCTGGCAGCAGAATGATATTTTATATCTAAAATAAATAAATAAAAATTAAAAATCTAGATAATAAAATACATCACTATGATTACCCATTCACATGTAGATAGATATTAGATTTGTTTCCAAACTTAAGCTATTATGAATGAAGTTAATACATTCTTAGAAATGTGTTTGCTTGAAATATAAGCTAATTTCTCTAGAAGTGATATTTTTATATCATAGGGTAGGCATTTATTGCAGTAGGTAATGCTAAACTGTTTATCATCAAAGAACTTGCACTGATTTACATATCAAATAGCACAGTAAAGAGGCTAAAAAAATGAAAAATTTAAAAAAAATATGAGACTTCTAGTTCTCCACATCTTCACCAGCAATTTGGGATTGTTAATCCTTTTAATGTTAGCCATTCTAATGGGTACGTTATAACATCTCATTGTGACATTAATTTGCATTTTCCTAAATGCAAGTTGAAGAATGGCAGTCAAATGTTTTGACTATTTTTTATTGTATTTTATTTACTGATGTGTAGGAGTTCTTTATATATCCTTTATTTGATATGCGTAAGGAGAATACTTATTTGCAGTGGGTGGTTGGCCTTTCCATAGAAGTTCTTCCTATTAATTAATTCCAGTTATTGAATTCCTTTGTCTTCAATTTTAGTCATTTTGTTTCCATGGTTATCTGAAAGTCATGAAGATACTATTACATTATTTTTTTGAGACAGGGTTTCATTCTGTTTTGCTTGAGCTAGAATGCAGTGGCGTCATAATAGCTCACCGCAAACTCAAACTCCTGGGCTGAAGTGATCCTTCTGTCTCAGCTTCCCCAGTAGGTGGGAGTACAGGCACATGCCACAATGCCTGGCTAATTTTTCTATTTTTTGTAGAGAACAGGTCTTGCTCTTTCTCAGGCTGGTCTCAAACTTCTGGCCTGAAGCAATCCTCCCACCCTGGCCTCCCATAGTGCTAGAATTACATGCATGAGCCACCACACCTGGCTTATTACAATTTTTTCTACAACATTTTTCCTTTTACATTTAATACTTAGCTCTATTATCCAACTCAATGTAATTCATTGATAAAGCTCAAGAATTATTTATTTTTATTTGTATATAAATTGCTCCATATATTGAAAGAGTCATTTATTCCCTATTGAATTGTGTCACTGACATAAAACAAGTGAACTTATATGTATGTGTCAAAGTCTTGAATCTGTTTTATTGTATTAGTCTATTTGCCTATTTGTGTGTCAAAACCACACAGATTAATAAATATAGCTTTAGAGTTAGTCATGAAATCTAACAGTGTAATTCATCCAACTTTTTTCTTCTCTTACCTATTCTAGGTCTTTTACATTTCAGTATAAATTTTATAATCAACTTGTTAATTTTCAAAATAAAACATACTAGAATTTGACTAGAATTGTGGCAATTCAATACATTATTTTGAGAACGATTGACATCTTCACAATGCAGAGTTTTTTAATCAATGAACATGGCATATCTATATATTTACTTAAGTCTTCTTGAAAGTTTCAACAATGTTTTAGGTTTTCAGCTTATTGTATCTTGAAAATATTTTATTCCATTTATTTTTATATATGTAATATTTTTGAGCCTATCATAAATGGCACTTGAAATTTTAATATCAGATGTATTTTCTAGTATGCTGGATTTCAATTTTGCATATTTTTTTTTTTTTTTTTTTGAGACAGAGTCTCACTCTTTTGCCTGGGCTAGAGTGCCGTGGTGTCAGCCTAGCTCACAGGAACCTCAAACTCCTGGGCTCAAGCAATCCTTCTGCCTCAGCCTCCCGAGTACAAAAAATCAATTAGAATATGTCCGGGAACTCCATTAATGTATAGGTCACATGTTGTACAAATTAATTATTTGGAACAGAAAAGAAAATACAAGC